GCCGTAGCTATTGGACGAGCTGGCCTAGGGTTCTTTCTTACCATCTGAGTGGACAGAGCCAAAGGTAAAGAAAAGAACCGTTTAATACAAGAAGTACGCAAGGGCGAGGAGGAGAAAAGGGTGGCAAAGATTGTAGGACTACGGCAACAAGGTGTGTGGACCAATTGGGAATCCATGATTTACAGGAAAATCAAATGGTCGGATATATGGAGCAATAACATCAACATAAAGTTCCTGATCCAGACTGTATATGACACCCTTCCCAGTCCTACCAACCTCCATCGATGGTATGAAACAGAATCACCACTATGCCATCTGTGTTCGCGTCCAGGAAGTCTAAAACATATTTTAAGTAGCTGTAAGACAGCACTAGCGGAAGGCCGGTATAGATGGAGGCATGATGAAATTCTAAAAGATATAGCAAAGATAGTTAGCATGGCCATCAGCACCAATACTCTAAACACAGATTAAAGAGCCATAGAGTTCCATAGAGCTGGTGAGAACCCCCCACCCCAAAGAAAATAAGCAAAAGAATATAGCAAATACTCTGTCACTGGCAACAGACTGGGAATTAAGGGTTGACTTAAGGAAAAGACTAAAATTCCCTGACCACATCGTGCAAACATCTTTACGCCCAGATTTAGTATTCTACTCTAATAGCATTAAGAAAGTAATAATGTTGGAACTGACAGCACCCTGGGAAGAGCATGCAGAAGAAGCCCACGAACGGAAGATGTTAAATATGACGAACTAATAGCGAGCTGCAAAAACAACGGGTGGAAATCAAGCTGCTTGTCAATCGAAGTGGGTGTAAGGGGTTTCGCTGCAAGGTCCCTATGCAAAGCTCTAACGGACATTGGCGTAGTAGGTGCTAGCAAAAGAAAGGCGATCCAGACTATAACTAATACAGCAAAAAGGACAGCAAAATGGTTATGGATTAAGCGTGATAGCCATTGGACATCAATGTGACAAACAATCATTAAGCCGGGCAAATTTGTAAATATTATTAATATAATTGCAACATGGCAATATTGTAAACATTTTTATTAATTTTTATTTTATTCTAATTTATTTTTATTTTACTTACTTATTTTATTTTATTATTTTTTTTGAGTAAATGTGTAAATATACGAATTGATATGTACAAGTACAGCCAAAGAATATATTTCGTCAATTCGTAAATTGTGCTATTTGTAAATATTAATTGTTTTTATGTTAAACCCATGTTATACGCAGGACGTTTTAAGTTACTTTTTAAGTTACTATTTAACTTTTTAGTGGTTTCGGCGCGACACATCTCTTAAGACATTGTCCATTATTCCCCCCCTTTTTTTTCCTTTTTTTTTATTCGAACGTAAGGCCTTTTTGTCTTTTTTTTTATTCGAACGTAAGGCTTTTTTGTCTTTTTTTTTATTCGAACGTAAGACCTTTTTGTCTTTTTTTTTATTCGAACGTAAGGCCTTTTTGTTTTTTTTGTTTTATTCGAACGTAAGGCCTTTTTGTCTTTTTCTTTATTCGAACGTAAGACCTTTTTGTCTTTTTCAATTTCACATTTATACGAACATGTCGCATTTTTATATATTTTAAATCGGAATCATAACCACGTATATAGTGTATTAATAGTGTTTTTTCTCTCGACCATTACCATATATATTTGTTTCTATATTATTTTTATTTTATTAGTTTAATTGTCAGCGGTTTCAAGCGATACATACATATAAATATAATATGAAGCTTCGTTAATACTTGATTTACTTCAAGATCATTTCGCCGTCTATTATATTTAACGACTTCAAATTTGGATATAATCAATATTAAGGAATATTATAGTGCTTACTGTATTTTTATTTTTAATTTCATTTTTGTATGTACGTGAAATATATATATATATATATATATATATATATATATATATATATATACAAGTTTATTGACAATTATTATCTTAATTTTGAGGATACATCCAACATAAGTTAACATGCAATAATGTTAAGAAACAGGCTAAACGATAAAATGTGATAATAGGGTTGAGTTTAAGTATCCCCGCCAAAAGAAAAGAAAAAAGTACGAATAAAATAAAAACGGCAAAGAATTAAATCATACAATACTTAAGGAGAATATTTAGGAAGATTAAGATTACCTCTTCGGTCATCCATCGAAACCGCAATCCACCGAAATAAGAAAAGAAGCCAGTCCCTACCGCGGGCCATTTAAAAGATATTTCGCGCACCGGATTGGTTGTTACAAACATCCAATCGGATGCGCGGAAGACGTGGTCTTTCTTCCTCTTATTCTTTAAAAAGGCCAGAATGACTGTTAGCGTTTAATTAAAAGGGGGAATCAGGGGTAGATCTCCCTTGATTGGGTCGATTTGGTGATGGGGAGTATGATGTTGAAAGACCCGAAACTCCCTGATGAACCAAGTCAAAAACATCACTGAGGACCCCCTTGGGCGCCTACTTAAAAGCGTATTTGCGAATTAACCCCTTGCGTGCTAGTGACATCCCGCCTTGCTTGGAGTGAAATGCTTAAAAAAATATGTGTGGCTTCAGGTTTATTTCTGAACGTGTGTTTTTTACTTACAATCATATAATAGACTTTATATATGTTTGCTCTTGGATGGAGTGTTTATATATCTTTGTGTCATCCGGTCTTCATAAGAACAACTGGGTCGACTACCTAGGATGTCAGAGTAAGCCACTGATATTATATATAGTTGCTAGAATGACTACTTTCACGTCAACACTCTAGTGTACCTGGCCATACTGATTATCTGGTGGAACACTGAGAGCAATGTCTCCTTTGGTATCTCTTAGATTGAGGTAATCGCAGGTCAACTGCTCATGGAATAAAGAATAATTGATATTAAATTTGTTTCAGACAGAATTTATTTCAAGAGTGAAGAGAAAAGCATAGAAAAACGATATAAAATAAAAAAAATTGTAAAACGCAGACAAAAAATTGAATTATTATTAATAATAACGCATGTAGAAATCTGAAAAGAAAATGCGAACAGAAGTAGAATTTACTCAACGAACGCACATTTCCGCTAATTCAATTGTCACTAAAAAGTAATAAAATAGCAGGATACAGATTCCAGACAATGCAGTTCAAAAAATTGTAATAATTATTGTAATTATTTTAAGAACTATTTGTAATAAAGTTTGTAATACGAACGAGATAATGACACTGTTATTCTTATACTGTACTGCGATCCTGACCATGTCATATTAACAGTATTATTAAATCGAAAAACAAAACAGAAAAAAAGAAAGTATTGTTTGAAATATTACGCAAGCTTAATCTATTTGGGAAGGATATTTTTGTAGCGCAACTAAGGACAATAATAGGTATGTCCCCATTCACATAAATGCAGTAGTAAATACTGTATGTTGGTCTACAGTCGGGGATATGTTTCCAGCTGTGCTGATCAAACTCTCTGCTCCCGGGCAGTGAGGATCCCTACACGAGGCTATGTCGAAAGGCAGAGTCTCGTATCGGGAAACAGCTACGGGGAGTTTTTGGCTGAGTCTACGGGCTCGGATACCCCACATAAAATTAAGTTTTGTGCCACATCTGACTGGGGTGCTTACTAGATATCCTGCTGTTGGTGCTTCATTGGGGAATTCACTTGACTCACTTCTAGCAAATGACTATTTCTACGTGCCAATGGCGAATCTCATATGTGTTGTTCTTGTCCTAAGTATTATCATTCATTATCAACCTTCGTGTGATTATTCTATTCAGTAACCTTCCCTAGATTACAACAGATATTAGAATAACCGAGAACTAAAACTGGGAACAAAACGTCTGAAAAAGAATAGAAAATAAATTCAGTAATTACACGAAAATAGAAAGCGTAAGACAAGTATGGCTTTTCTCGCCGGACTCATTCGAAAGTTATAGCGAGGCGATCCTGGGAAACCGGAAACCCTCACAAGAATTTCTATTGGTAGACACAGTTTTAACAACATTAAATATGCAAGCGAAACGGTGTTGATAGCAGAGACATGAGGAAAACTGCACGAATTCCCACAGAGTATTGTAAAAGAAAACGCGAAGAAAGGACTAAGAATTCTAAGACAAAAGAATATATTGCGGTAAGCAAGAGAAAAAGCCCAAGAATCCAATTACGAATTGAAGAAGCCATAATCAATCATATATATTGAACAGAGAAAAAATAATATGACACCTAATTGAACAAGCCATAATCAAGCAAGCGCTAATATATATATATATATATATATATATATATATATTGAACAGAGAAAAAATAATATGACACCCAAATTTGAAGACGCATTCGCTCAGGAAAAGATGCCTTCCACAATCTAATCAAAGTGTCAAGAAACAGGAACATTTCGTTAGAAACAAAGAAAAACCTATTAAAGTTTTATGTAATATCGGTCCTTCTCTATGGCAGTGAATGTTGGACAAAATCCTCGCAAAAGCACTGATTTGAGGCAACAGAAATGTCGTTCTACAGAAGGATGCTGAGAATCATTGCCTGAACATGCGAGTAACGAGGAAGCCTTAATAAAAATGAAAGCAAAAAGGACGCTCTTACTTAGAGGCAGAAAGAGACAGTTGAAATTTCAAGGGCACATAATGAAGAAAATCGTCTGGAGAATTCGACACTCACAGAATATGCGAGACTGAGAAAAGCGGCGAATAACTTAGCAAACGAGAATGATTGGGAGGGATAGCGAAATAACAAGCATTAATAAGAGGTAAAAAGGGTAGGATGTAGTGGAGAACCATGATCATACACGTCCTTATGATGCAAGACACTCAGAAGAAGAATGTCGATTGTTAAAAAAATGAAAAAAAATATAAAAAACATTAATTACTGAATTCATCTCAAATCTAGAATTAATACCGATGAGCATCTCAGAGTAATTCCGTCCAGGTATATACCTGGGTATATTTGCGCCCAAGGTATGATTCTGACACGTCTACTTCATACTTATGGACAAAATATAGCATAGTCTAAACTGTACCGCCATTGTGAATTCGGTGAAACTAAATAAAGAATAAATGAAATGGAGGAAATGAATGAATACAAAGAAAGACTTAATGCAAAAGAAGGTCAAAGGAATTGAATGAAAGAAATGAATCAAATAATAAAGAAAAGGAAGGAATGCATATAAATGAATAAATAGGAATAAAATAATAACCGAATGAAGAAAAAAATATGAAAGATAAAAATAATGAAAAGGTTTTGAATGGAAAATAACTGAATGAAAAGAAGACATTAAATTAAAGAATGAAGAATCTTAAAAAATAAAGATAATTAATGTATTAAATATAAGGAAGGAAAACATTGTATCATATTACATATTACATTCATATTACATACATTGCATCTTACAGATAATACATAATACATATATTACATACCATATTACATATAATAAATATAAATTATATATAATATTACATAACGTATTACATATTACATATAATATTACATATTACATATAATATATATGTATATTGCATATAATATGACATATATTACCTATGACAATGCATATATCACGTATAATATTATATATCATATTACATATTAGATATAATACATATATTATATATTACATACCATATTACATAATACATGTAATACATATATATTACATATCATATTACATATTACATATAATAGATATAACATATAATATTGCATATACTATTCATATTACATATTACATATAATATATATTTATATTACATATAATATTACCTATTACATATCATATTACATATAATAGATATTACATGTATTAGATATATCACATTCATATTACATATTACATATCATATATATATATATATATATATTCCATATAATATTACATGTTACATATATATATATATATATTATACATATTATTAAATATTACACCTCATATTACATATTACATCTAATTACATATATATTAAATATAATATTCCATATTATACACCATATTTCGTATTACATATGATGTTACATATTACATTCATATTATACATTACATATTATGCATATATATTACTTATAATATTGCCTATTGCATCTCATATTACATATTACATATTACATTTCATATTACACATAATACATATATATTAAATACAATATTACATATTACATTCATATGCTGCATATATATCTTACATATAATATTAACTATTACATATCATTTTATTATTATATATATATATATATTACATTTATTTCATATTACATCTAATACGTATATATTATATATAATATTACATAGTAAATGTCATATCATATATTACATATAATAAATATATTTTATATATAATATTACATATTATATATATATATATATATATATATATATATATATATATATATATATATAATATTACATATTGCATATCATATTACATTCTAAATGCAACACTGGTGTCGCCTAACCTACTTGACAAAGAACTATACAGCGTACGTTTTGTTCCATAGGCTTTTGCGATTCTTGACCAACAATATTTAGCATTGAAGTAAAAACTGAAAAATAAAAAATTACAAAAAAAAAAAAATGAAATAATGGATAAATTTTTTTCAAAATTTAAAAAAATATATATACAGTGATAAATGAAGAAACTTGAGAAAAAAATGGTTTATGAAACAACAGCCAAATCTATTTAGGTCCGCACACGCACACGCACAGAGAAAAACACAAACGCGCAGAAAAAAAAGCATGCACACACATGCGCACACGCATGCGCACACGCATGCGCGCGCGCACAGGTAACAGACATATATAGAATAACTAAAGGAAGAAAGAGCAAATGGATAGACGATTAGACATTCCGTTCCCTGCACCGCCCCAGAAAATATCTGCTTATTCATCCAATTCTCTATGTTTGCTAGAATCAGATGAGAACAGAAATCTAGAATTGCCGTCATATCTGGGATGGGAATCTCTAAACCTACCCACTTTGGCTGACATCAAAATCGTTATTGACTAGGGGTTGATCAATTGTTCTGTACACTGAAACCCATTTCTCACGAACGAATCATTGCTAGTCGCTACTCAATCCCTATTTCCACTGCAGGTTGGTTCTACAAGTTCCCGTAGCTAGCACCGCCATGCTACACATATTGAGTCGACTCATCTTCATTCCCTTCATATTCCATTAGTAAGGAGGAAGTTCCATCCAGACAGCTTTTCCCTCAGAACTGCTTCATCGCGGAATGGATACCGGATAGGATGCTTCCCTAATCAATACAATCTTAAACACTTCAAATATAGAGTGAATCGATATCGATCCTACATATCCTCATAATATATACTCTATTATCCCCCCTTACATCACTGAGCAACCCTCTACATGAAGCTGCTCTTTGTATTTATATTAGTTCATTGATTAGTTCGGTTTCTATGGCTTCGCAACCTTTTGCAGGTTATTTAAAGCCAGAAAATACTTTTTTTAGATTATGAGAATCTGGAGGAGGAGATAATAATGTTATATGTATTACTAATTAACCCATAGATTGGTTGGAAGAAGAAGTTGAATCATACCTTTCCCATCGGTATCTGCGCAGAAGTGTATATAACAAACCCAACTGGAATTCGAACATGGCTCTCTGAATGACAATTTCATTACACCACTCGCACATCCAGTCTTACAACAACTGGTATTCCCATCTAGGTACTGATCAGTATCGATGTTGTTTAAGTTTGGCGATCGTACGTGTTTCAACGTGATGCATCCCTAAGCTTTCATTACACTGGTTGAACAATAAATAAATAAATGAAAAAAAATAAAAAAAATGAAAAAACAAACAACAACATGCAAATAAAGTAAAGATGACGATAAAGGGATAATCGAAAGGAAGAAATAAATGAAAAGAAAGACTTAAGAATTAATGGAAATGAAGAATATAATATAGTCATGAAAAAACTGTGTCCCGCAGGCCACATGCGGTCCGTTTGGCCTACTGAATGGAACACCTATTTTAATGAAGAAAATAACCTCTATTAAATATTTTTTTGCTTTGTTTCATTCTCACTTCTTAAGAAACATTATTTCTCACACAAAATTGTTGAGAGACGCTATTGTCAAAGGGCAAATAACTATTAAAAGCCTGAATAACCTCCCTTATTTATTAATGTCTGTTGCATTGTGGGTACAGTTCGACTAAACCGCATATATAACAATGATTAAATACAATGTTTCTTTGATTTTGTTAACTTTCCTTGAAGGTAGCATTCGCAGTATTTCAAACCATTGTTGATTTTCATTAAGGAAGATCATGCATGTAAAATATTTTTTTCTTTAGAAACGAGACACGATCATGTTAATTTTTTGTATGGAGAAAAAAATGAATTGAGCAATCTGGTATCCACTAATGCTTATATCTTGTATATAATGCATTAGAAATTCCTGTTCTGTGATCGTGCTGATAGCTTAAGGGTGAGAGTCTCCGACTGATGTCAAATAAGTTTCGATCCCGGCTTGAAGCAATTCTATGTCTAGCCACACTGATGAGCTGTGAAATAGTCTGTCTGTGGATGACTATATTTTCTTTTATAAATATATTTTTCATATTTTTAAATGAATAAGTTAGAAACAAATCATACGCAGCAGCATGTGCTAATCACAGTGTCATTAGTGATAATATTATACGAAAACATTCATTTTTAAATTGGAGAGAAAATATTTTCTCCAAATACGAACTCCCCCCCCATTCTAAGGTAGAATCTAACGCGTATGATCTTCAGCAGTGTAAATGGCCGCTTTACTTTCAACCAAAAATTAATTTGATTTTTTTTCATTAGTGCGATGATGAACAGTCTCTCATGCGGCCCACTGTTCGGAAATGTTGCCCACGCCTTATATTAACAAGAACATCTTGAGGCTGAACCAAAAAAAAAAAAAAAAGTAAGCAAAAAACAAATAAAAGGTTGAAGAAGAGAGAAGGGAAAAGCGACAACGGATTTTGTAAAGACTAAAAGGTCCTTGATTATGAAAATTGATCGATGTACTCGGCAACTTCAATGAATTTGTCTGGTCAGCAAAGAAAGGGCGATTGTTTTGCATTGTGATGATGGTCACGCCTGTCAGCACTTGCACGATCGCTTTCTCCTTGCGTGATTAAATCCCACCCTCACCCCACTCTATGTCTTTCATCCACCCAAACGCTCACATACACACATTTTCTTTCTGTCTCAACTTTTCTAAATGATCAATGTTTTCTGTCCCAGAGTTCCACAGCAGGGAAATCTATCAAGAATACACAGAACCGATCTGAAAAAAAAAAAATTGTTTTTTGCAAAATATCGATCCACAGATTTGTGGCAGCCAATGGCTGTCCGATGACGAACTAGTTACCTACGTATCTGGAACGTCCTGGTAAAGTCGAAACCAGAATCTAAGTCTACTTAAGATGTATCAACTAATTTTATGCCTGGACTTAGAAAAGCTCGCCACCATTATCATACTATAACAGTGTTCGTCCCTCTTTTCGTTAGTTCGCACGACCGTTACGTGCTGCCAATACCTCATAAATAATGAACTATTCATTTGTGTGGAAATGTGGATGTGAAATATGTCACTTGTTCTCAGTAAGAAGGAAGGAAAGAAAGAAGTGCTTAATGTCTCCTACCAAAACTTCATAAATAATGGACTATTCCATTTGATCCCGTGGAAAGAGGGGGGGAGACTCCTATTGGATTCGGTGATGACAGAAATAAAGCAAGAAAAAGAAAGAAGTGTTTAACGTCTCCTGCCAATACCTCATAAATATTGGACTATTCCGTTTTGATCACGTGGAAAAAGGGAAAAAGACTACCCTTGGTTTCAGTGAGACAAAGAAAGAAAGAAAGAAAGAAAGAAAGAAAGAAAGAAAGAAAGAAAGAAAGAAAGAAAGAAAGAAAGAAAGAAGCCAATACTTCATAAATAATGGACTATTCCGTTTTGATCACGTCTAAGGAGGGGAAAAGACTTCTCTGGTTTCGGTGAGACAATGACAGAAATAAAGAAAGAAGAAAGAAACAAAGAAAGAAAGCTAGATAGAATGAAAGAAATAAAGAAAGAAAAAGAAAGAAAGAAAGAGAAAAAGAAAGAAAGAAAGAGAAAAAGAAAGAAAGAAAGAGAAAAAGAAAGAAGTGTTTAACGTCTCCTGTCAATAACTCATAAATAATGGACTATTCCGTTTGGATTGCGCGGGAAAAAAGGGAAATAACTACTTTATTTCAGTGAGAAAATCAAAGAAAGAAATAACGTATCTAACGGCTCG